AAATGTGAACACCTACACACAGCAGAGCCGGGAGTACAAGTGTGAATGTCTAAATGTGTTTGGGTGACTGTGAGCAAGTAAGTGAGCAAGGAAGGGGGAGTGCAAGAGAAGAAGAGGGTGGCCATGTGAAAAAGAGTGTGTGCAGGAGGGAGGAGGAAACGCGTGTGCATGCACATGGAGTGGAGAAGGCACCCGGCTATAACCCAGTGCCTGCCACGGTATGGGGGGCTGTTGTAACCGAGGGCTTGGGAAAAGGGGAGAGAACGGGAAGGGGGGAGGGAAGGATGTCTGCTTGTCTGTGTGTACGTGTGAGGAGGGGGCCTGCTGGCGGGAGAGAGAGCCCTAAAGACGGGATGAGAGAGTGAGCAGGTCTGCTCATCTCTACAAGCACGTCTGGTGGGAGCGGTGGATGACGGAGCCATGGAGTGATGGAGCACTGGGGCTGAGAGATCCTGAGTGTGTGAGGGGAAGAAGATGCACAGGCACGTGGGCTGAAAGGCGGGTGTGCCCCTGCAGGGCTGTGTGAGCCAGAGGGAGACGGCACGTGCCTGGGTGACCGTGTGCGGGCATGTGCAAGTGTGTATGTGAGCACGAGGCTGTGACAAGTGAGAACACACAAGAGGGTGTGAGCTCGCTTGCAGCTGTCAGCTGCCTGGGGGTGTTGGCGATACCTGAGGATGTTTTCAGCTAGAAATCTCAATCTGGGAAGATTGCGTGACCTGCCTGGCACTAGCTCAGGTCCAGGTGAGAGTGGCTGGGACTGGTGCCCCCACCCGTGGTGCCCGTGGGGATGAGTGAGTCACCCAGGCACAGGCCCGGCTGGTCCTCACTCTGCCTCGCCTCGTCCTGCCCAGTGGGGAGGGCCGCCGGGAGGAGGAGAGGTTACCTGAGGGCTATATTTTCACACTGTCATCATGCAAGTGCTGCAGTGCCCACCGGCCATCCTAAGGCCCAGTTCTCTTGGCCTTGATGGCTCCATCTCTTCTTATATCCAAGTGGCAACTCAGGTCAGTGGTTTCAGCTGATGGACATCTTGGAAATCTGCTTGTCACCACGTTCCAGGGCCACCCTACTGACAACGCCAACCACCCTAGGCCTGCCCCATCCCCGCTTCTTAGCTTTAATATTCTCCAAAGCATTTATCACTCTTAGCCATACTATATATTTTACTCATTTATTTATTGTCTTTCCCTTAATAGCAAATGCCTATCTACCACTTGCTACGTGCCAGGCACCGTTCTGAGCTCTCTACTACTAATTCATTTAATCCTCCAATAACTCTACGAGGCAGTGCGTATTACTCATGCCAGTTCGTTAAAGGGAGGCCCAGAGAGGGGAAGTAGCTTGCCCATGATCACCCCAATGGTAAGCGGTGGAGCCAAGGCTGGTCCTGACTCCCTGCTCTTGACCAGTACACACCACTGTCCTGTGAGGGTTGAGGGTGGGAAATTTTCTCGGTGTGGCTCACTGTTGAATGGCCAGTGCTTACAAGAGTGCCCAGCACATGGGGTGCTCATGTTAGTGAAGGAATGAAGAAATGAGTGAATGCATGCGGGACATAGAGGATGAAACAGAGAGGTACTTGCCTTCAAAGGCTCCATGGAGGAAACATACAAAAAGCTATTTCAATATCATATCAAGACGGCATCATGGGAGTCTAGAGGGACATACAACTTGCTCGGCCCCTGGCAGGCAGGCCTTCCCAGAGGAAGGACACAGGTGGGGACAGGCACAGAGACATCGCCCACCTCCTCCAAACTCCTCCCTGGGGACAGACACACCTTAGTTCTTCCTGCCTCAGTCCACAGGGTGCCAGAAGATGGTGGTGGCTCCATGCTGACAATGGAGGCAGAATAAGGCAGTCGCTAGAGTATGAGCTCTGCAGAGAGACCGCCTGGAGTGAATCCTTACTCTGCCAGATACTAGCTAAGTGGCCTTGGACAGGCTCCTCACCTCCTCGGGCCTCCCAAGGGCCTTGGCTCATCTATAAGATGCAGAGAGCAAATGACCCACCTTCCTAGGGCAGTGGAGAGGGTTACATGAGCTTTACGTGCAAAAGCATTCAGAACAGTGCCTGGCACAAGGAAGGCAATGTGCCAGCTCCAACGGAGATGACCAGTCTTATTAGTGTCACTGAGTGGACTCTGACGCCTAGCGCCCCTGTGTCCAGCAGAGTGGAACGACCTTTTTCGTGCCATCCTCTCACCTTCCAGCGCTATGTTAGACAATGATCCACTGCTATGCATAGGGTGTTTTTTTTTTCTTAAGGATTGGCACCTGGGCTAACAACTGTTGCCAATCTTTTTTTTTTCTTCCTGCTTTATCTCCCCAAATCCCCTGTACACAGTTGTATATCTTAGTTGCAGGTCCTTCTAGTTGTGGGATGTGGGATGCCGCCTCAACGTGGCCTGAGGAGCAGTGCCATGTCTGCACCCAGGATCTGAACCCTGGGTCGCCGCAGCGGAGCGCGCGAACTTAACCACTTGGCCACAGAACCGGGCCCTATTCATAGGGTTTTCACGGCCAGTTTTTTTAGAAGTGTGTGGCCAGGTCCTTCTTCCTAGTCTGTCTTAGTCGGGAAGCTCCGCTGAAACCTGTCCATCCTGGGTGACCCTGCTGGTGTTTGAAATACTGGCGGCATAGCTTTCAGCATCACAGCGACATGCAGCTGCCTCAGTGTGACAACCGATGGACAGATGGTGTGGTTCCCTGACCAGGAAATGAACCCAGGCCATGGCATTGAGAGTGCCAAACCTTAACCACTAGACCACCAGGCTGGCTGGACGACCAATACCCTCTTCTATTCTATGTTAGCTGCTGGCTTTCAGGGAGGAATGGCAGAAGGGGTTGGAATTAAACATTTTATGCTTGTGCTGTGGCCTCTCTGCTGTAGCTTCATCCCATTTTCCAGAAGCAGCTCAAAGCAGGGCAGGAACTATGTTTTATTCACCACTACATCCCTAGCTCCTAGTACAGCACCTGACACATAGCAGGTGCTCAGTGAGTACTCACTGAATGAATGCTTGTGTGATTCTATTTACTTACTCCTTGTAAGGATAAATATTTACATTGCTGTAAGGATAGATATTCATATTGTTGTTGTTGCCACTCACAAATGAGGACTAGAGGCCCAGCAAGGTTAAGTGACTTATCCATAAACGCAGAGCCTGTAAGCAGAACAGCCAGACTTCACGCCAAGCCCCACGCTCTTTCCTCCAAGCCACGCGACTCTCTGGACCCCTGTGCGTCATGTCCTATTTTCTGTGGATTGTTTCTAGCCAGTGGGGCCATCCCTGGTTGGAGAATCAACTCTGAATCCTATGACTCATCTCTGAATCACAGACCTGTTTAATAGTTGCAAGGGACTTTTGATGTCATCTCGACCTCCCACCCACTGTGGAAATTTCCTCTGCAGTGTCTATCATCCAGACAATACGTGAATTGTCCAGTGATGGAACACTCATTGTCTTCCTCTTGAATTACCAAGTTCTAGGACTGGACCACTCTGGGAGTCAGAGAAGTTCTGCATCCTGTGGGCCCAGAGGCCGCTCTTTAATTTCTGTGTATTGGGCTTATGCCATCCTCCTATGACACAGAGACCGAAGCTCTGCCCCCTCCACAAGACAGCCTTTCAGATATTCACAGACAGCTCTCACATCCCTCTGGAGAATTCTTTTCTTCAAGTCAGCTATTTTGGTCCCCACGACAACTCCTGTGAGATGGCATCTCTCCTAGACTATCTATCGCAACGGCCCATCCCAAGTGCTTTGAGCAATGGCACCCCCTACTGGATAAGGTGTGAATTACACCAAAGGGCACTGGGCCAGTGGCTCATGGTGTGAACGAAACAGCCACTTGAAGTCATAGCTTCAGAGTCATCCCTGGTCGTTTTCAACGTCTGTCCTAAAGAGTGTCCATCCTAAGGTTCCTTGCCAATCATGAGGTTTCTGACAAGCTACAGGTTTGGGACTTCAAAGTTAGAATCCAAAGGCTGTTGGTTTTCTCTTAACAAAAAGGTTTGGAAAGAGAAATAAAAATGTATGCTGTGGGGCTGGCCCGGTGGCGCAGCGGTTAAGTTCACACATTCCGCTTTGGTGGCCCAGGATTCGCTGGTTCGGACCTACGCACCACTTCTCAAGCCATGCTGTGGGAGACGTCCCACATATAAAGCAGAGGAAGATGGGCACGGTGTTAGCTCAGGACCAATCTTCCTCAGCAAAAAGAGGAGGATTGGTGGTGGATGTTAGCTCAGGGCTAATCTTCCTCAAAAAAAAAAAAAAGTATGCTGTGTTATAGAACTATGGTGATTTTTCTTCTTTTTTCACTTGTCTTTATTTCCCAATATTTCTATAATGGGTATTTGTTATAAGAAGAAAAAAAATAGAAACTTTCATAAAAAGAAAGAAACTCTAAAAACTTCCCCTAACCTTGTTCCTTCCACGCCTGGGTATTTGGTCTGCAACTGGGACATGCTGCCCCAGGGCCGGGAGTCCTGGGGAATGTCTCCGTGGGGGCTGCAATGGCCGTGGTTCAGCCAGCCAGGGCCCCCGCAAGTGTGGTCAATCAGACTCGAGCACACAACGTGGCGCTCACGGCCAGGCCTCTCCCAGGCCTGTCAGGTAGTTTCTCCAAATCGTCCACCTGCCCGTGGTTCATGCCATGTTCAGGCTCTGTTTCCTAATCTGAAGTCCGCCCAACACCCGCACTGGTCAGTGGTCATGTCCCTGTCAGCCCTGGACTCCCCAGCTCTGCCCTCTTCTCTCTGCCCCCAGCACACCCTCAGCTGCCTTCTCTCCCCTCCTTGTGGGGCTAGAGCAGCTCCAAATGATAACAGGTCAGACAGACATCAGGGATCAGAAAAACACATCCTCATTTCGACAAAGACCTATGGACCAGCTGAGTCACTCCTCTCCAGCAAGTTCACAGCTAACCAGGCTTGACTCCAGCCCCAGCATCATCCCGGCCTCTCTCCCTCCATCGGGAGCTCTGGGCAGACTCACCCGGCAGCCTCTCGCTGCAGCACATGTCCAGGGCCCCTCCCTCGGAGTCATCAGCAGCGTGGTTCCCTTGCACTCCTGCGCAGGATCAAAAAACACGAGACGCTGTTGAACCAGGATCAAGACAAAACCCTGAGCAAAGATAAAAAGCCTTCCTTTCTGCCCTGTGTCCCTCTGAATACCCTACCCCATCAGGCGGACCCAGGAAAAGACCAACCTATAGGGAAGTCAAGCTGCCAAGCCCGGAGCAGAATCCTGCAGGTGTCTTCTGCGTGGAATAATCAGGGCAGCATGACTACAGCCATCGTCATCTTCATCACCTCTACCACGGAAGGCGGGCTTACCATATGCAAAGCACTTCACAAACTTTATCACACTGAGACTTCCTAATGACCCCATGAATTACGCATCATTTAACAGGCTCAGAGAAGTTAAGTAACTTGCCCAAGGTCACACAGCTCATTAGGCTGGAGCTGGGTATGAAATTATGGTCTAGGACTCCGGGCTCATGCTCTCACTGCTGTGCTGTTACGCCTCCAAGCTCGTGAGGGTGTGAACCACGAGTGAGCAAGAACAGGGGTCTGGGTAACACACAGTCTGTGTCCACCTCCCCAAGGCCTGTGACTGTCTTTAGGGAGTGGAAAGGGGTATGTAAAACTCTTCTCCAGAAACAGCTAGGAAAAGTAGCTATATGTATATTTTTGCATATTCTAAATGTTCTATTTCTTTCTGAGATCAGAAAACCCTCTTTCTAGCTCATCAGGGCACCTTCCAAGATGATGTTGGGGTCTAGCTTTTTTCCTTTGCCCAATAAGCTGGAAAACGGTTGCTGGGGATCAGCCAGACCCCACGAAGTGCCTGTAGAGAAGACAGATCCTGAGGGCAACTGTGCCTACAGGGGTGCCTACTCTGGCCAATGGCCTGAAATGCAGGCGTGGGCTCCAGTGGCCCCACCTGCCCTTCATGTCTCTGACCCATGGCAGGAGCTGACGGATGCAGGGCAGGACACGCCCACCAGGCCGGGTGGATCAGATCCTCTGCCCCGCACTTTCACACGTGTTCTGGAGCGCCTGGAGCCTGCAGCTGCTGGTGCTGAGTCCCAGGAGCCCCAGTGCCCCGAGAGAAGGTCCAAAACACCTGCTCCAAGGGCCTCGGAGCTGCTTCGTTCCTGTCCACCCTGAGTCTTGACCGGGCAGCACGCCCATCAAGACCAGGAGATGCCCCAGGATCCTTCCAACAAAGTCCAGCATTCTAGCTTGAGCCAGTGGATTTGATTTCTGAAACTGGCAATCCAAAGAAACTTGAATATAGCCTCCCTAGCCTATCACTTCCAAGAAGTCTGGGAGGCCAGCTGCCCCTCTGCCCACCAGTCCTGCAATCCTGCCCCTCAGCCTGGGCCCGAGGCTGACTTCAGGCCCAGCTGCAGATGCGACACAACGAAGGGCAGACAGGCCAGGGGAAGGGGGACCCTTTTCATTCTGACATCTCCTGCTCTCACCTGGCATTGCATTATTTTATCCTTTTCTTCACTCCATTGGGCAGAGTCTCTGAGGATGCCAAGTCCCAGAGCCCAGCTCTCCTGCAGTGAAAGGGCTGCTACCTTCAAGGCCCTTAAAACGTCTCGAGTCCCTCCACTTCTCTCCCCCTCCACACCTCTATTGGGCCCAAGCCGGCATCTCTTGCCTAGATTACTGCTGCGGTCTTTTAACTGATCTCCAGCATCCACTAGGACTGGCCTCCGAAACATTCTCCGTATGGTTCCAACACAAATGGCTTCATAGGTTGTGCAGCAGGCTGGAGCTAGAATCAATTCTTTCAAAACTCAGCATTTGTCATATAACCTTCCATGGAAAAATACTTCAATGGCATCCTATCACACTTAGAAGAAAGATACAAATCCTTTACCATAGTTTACTAGATCTTGCATGGTCTGACCCCGATTTATCTCTCCAGCCTTACTTCATGACCCTTTTCTCCCTGACCTCTGCCCTCTGGCCACACTGGAGAGGGACTTTTCTCTGCCTGGAGAGCTCCCCCAATGCCACTTCCCAGTACTTTTTACTCAGAGCACTTGATGCAGTTTGAAATGTCATTTGAATTTATGTCATTCCTTGATTAACATCAGACTATAAGCTACATGAGGGTGGGGACCACCATTTGTTTTATTTACCACTGAATCTTCAAAGCCTCACGCAGCGCCTGGCTCCCAGCAGGTGTTCAGTAAATAAATACTTGTTGCATAAGTGAATGTTGCCCTGACCTTCTTGAAACAAATATCAGGAACCTCATACACGGCCACCCTCTGCGCTGCCTTGTGGGCGGGTCTCTGGTAAGTCACTTGGAGCCCTCCTCCGGAGCTGCTGTCGAGCAGTCACAGAACCGCGCATCTGAGACACCCCGCATCGTGCAGAGGAGGACTCTAAGAATGGGGTCTGACTTGCCCCAGGAGACACACTGAGTTAGTGGCGACGGTTGGGATCAAGACACCTATCCCCAGGCCCCTGACCCTGAGCTTTTCCGTTCTTTAGCCGACAGAGCACTGCAGGTGGAGGGCAGCTGTGAGGATAGCCCCGGCTGGGTGCAGGAAGCTAACCTCGTGCCCAGATGCCTCTGGAAGGGGGCCCATGTGTGACTCACAGCTGCCTCCACACCTCAATCCTCCCCGCCCCAAGCCGTGTTTAGAACAGCTCAGTGCCGCACGCGTGCAGCGGACTCTATAAATAAGCTTCCTAGAAAATGACGAATTTCATAATCAGAAAAGCAGAAAAGAGTAGCACCTTTCCACTGTAGAGGAAAGCGGAGCACAGCCGCGGCTCGGCCCTGTAGTCGAAGGACTCCGGGCAACCTCAGCCAGGGCCGGCACCTCTCGGCCGCTCAGGGGAGGGTTTGAATTGAGATTTCCAAAGAGAACGGATGGTCCATTCGGGCTGGATGGAAAAGCCCAGTCTCTGGGCAAGCCCTCCTTCCTGCCGGCCCCGAGCAGAGGCAGCCGCGTGCAGTGGACTGCTGCAGGCTCCTTCTTTCCTTTCCCACTTCTATCAGCCGGGCAGCAGGAGCCGAAAACCGCCCTGTGACAACAGGCAGCAACCTGCAGGGCTGGCCCTCCACTGCTGCTCTTAGAACCAGAGAACTCCGGAGACAGTGAAGGGACATCAGCCTGTCCCTTCCTCACGGGGGGGGGGGGGGGGGGGGGGGGGAGAACATCCAGGAGGGGAGGGAACTTTGCAAAGCCATTGCTTCATTCGACAAGTGTTTGCTGAGCACCTCCTGTGGGCAAGGCACCAGGGCTCTCCCGGGGAAGCAATGACGAACAGGTCAGGCCCCTGCCTACACAGCCCGTCTCCCCCTGGAGACACACACGGAAACAAGGTTGGCACCCACAACTGCTTGAATCAGCGTATGCACTGACACCTTGGGAGGGGCTCTCAGCTCGGCTTGTGGCGAGGGCCTGGGGGAGAGGAGATCTCCAAGGGGAAGACAGGAGCTGCTTCTTAAAGGATGTTTCTAGATGGATGAGGGGTCACAAGAGAAGATTCTTGCGTAGTGAAAACAGCAAGGTCCAGAGGGCCAAGATGTATGAACATTTGGCACTAACTGGAAGCAGGCCGGTCGGTGGGATGGGGAAGCGAGGGGGACCAGGCCTCGGCAGATGCCCAGAAGCTGGGAGCAGGCCTGGCCACCAGGAACCCTGGCTCCGTGGCAGGGCAGCCCTCCTCCACTTGACCACGTGACTTCTCTCGCACTGAGAGGTGCCACAGGCTCCACCCCCGCCCTCAGCCTGGGCTGGGGGGCTGTGCAAGAGGAATGGACATCAGACCTGGCTGGTGATATTTGATCTGCTCCCAAACTATTCCTTTTTTTATTGTGGTAAAATTCACATAACATAAAATTCACCATTTTAACCAAAGTGTACAATTCAGTGGCATTTAATACATTCACAATCTTGTGAAATCATCACCATTATCTAGTTCCAGAACAGTTTTCATCACTCTAAAACGAAACCTCATACCCATTAATGAGTTACTCCCTATTCTACCTTCCCCTGGCAACCACTAATCCCCTTCCTGTCTCTGTAGATTAGCTTGTTCTGTCCATTTTACACAAACAGAATCATGCAATATGTGGCCTTTTGTGTCTGGCTTTCACTTAGCACGTTTTCAAGGTTCATCCATGTTGTAGCACGTTCTAGCACCTCACTCCTCTTATGGCTGAATAATCGGCTATATGGATATACCACATTTTATCCATCCACTCATCAGGTGATGGACGTCTGGGTTGTTTCCACCTTTTGATTTATTGTGAACAGTACTGTTATGAACCAAACTTCTCTTTCAAACTCTGCTCCCAACATGCCCACGACTTTGGGCAATCCTCTCTCACCCTGGGCCCCTGAGGCCTCATCTATAAAACAAGGTGGTCAAACTCTAGGCCCCCTGCAGCTTGAATGTCATCACGTCATTTCTTCTTTCGTGCATGTGAGGTCATGTGTGCCCCGCAGCTACTCCACCGGTGCTAGGTGCTGGAGACCCGGCCTGGACCAGCCCACCCCATCTTCCAGGAGCTCATGGCGGGTTGGGGAGACACAGAGCAGGTAACTGAGGTGTTCTCACAGAGGCCTGTCTGCGACGGGCTGGGAGCACCTCACCTCTGCCTGGGGGTGTGATGAGTGGGTGCGGCTGGGAAGCATCCTGGAGTGGATGCCAGCTTTGCCCAGGACTTGTACGGAGAAGGAGCTGACAGGTCTGGGGAGGGAGGCAGAGGAGCCTGTGCCCTCTTCCCAGGTGGGTGAGGGGCGAGGAGCTGGGATGCTGACGCCAGGATTCCTGGGTGTGAGGCTGAGCCCCTGGAACCTCCAGACCCAGCCCCAGGCAGACACGCCCTCCACCTTGGGCTTCACGCTCCTGGGCTCCCAGGACCCTGAAGACATCCCTGGCTGTCAACACGAGTTCCCACCAGCCTCCTGAAGCTCTGGTTCCACCAGATACCTCCACGCCGTGAACAAACCCGTCCACTCCCACTCATAGGCCTTTGTTCACGCTGTTACCTCAGCCTGGAATTTCCTTTCCTCCTCCTGCCAAAGCTTACTCGTTCTCTACGCTACCTCTTCCAAGGAGCACTCCCTGAACTCCCAGGAAGAATCCAGTGCTCTCATCTCGGGGCTCCCCCACAGCCCTGGCTCACACTTCTCTCGGCCTCTTGCTTTGTTCTGCTGCTGCAGTTAGCTGTTTATACACCTGCCTCCCCACCCGGGTCCAGTGACCTGGAGCCTCGCACCCCCTCAGCCACCTCTGCATCCCAGGCGTTCAGCACAGGGCCTGAGAATGTCATCCAGATTGCCACCCGACGTTCAGCACGCCGGGGCAGAGGGCAGGCTGGTTCCATGGAAAACAAATGATCAGGCTGACTGCCTCCAGCAAATGAGCTGTGTGTCCCAGAGCACGCACACGGAGAGGGCTCGCCCTCCCCAACTGGGGGAGCCGTAGGCTCACTCACCTGGCTCCCTCACAGCTCATTCCCTAGGGGTCTGGATGGGCAAAGGCGCCATCTGGGGCCAGGGCAGGGAGCTTTCTCAGCAAAAAGCACACTGGAGATGTGAATGGAGGACAGAGGCCAACTTTAAAACACCCAGATGGGGAAACCGAGGCAAGAGAGGTCACACAGTGTGTGAACAGTTGTTTTCAGGTAGTAAACAAAATCTCGACTCCCTTTTGGGAGTTACTGCTCTCTTCTCTTGGTGCACTGCTTGTCCCTTGCCATGGGGAGGGCCCAAGACCAGGGGTCAGTCACCTGTCATTCTGTGTCATACCCCAAAGGCCTTCTACTAAGTAGCTTTTCTGCCTAAGTTACCAACAGTCAGTTTCTGTTGCGGGCAACTGAAGAACCCAGACTTATGCGTGCAGCAAACTCGTGGAACAAACAGGCTCTGAGCCCAGGACTCCCAATGCTTAGTTCACTGCTATTTCCATCCTGCCGAGCTGCCTACCCTCCCTGCCCAGCTGTCCACTGTCCAGCCATCTGTCCCCACGTCTGAGCAGACTGCAAACTTGGAGTGTTCTGGATCCCAAACACAGGGTCTGAGTGTTCTCTGCTTGGGATGCGCCCAGATAAATGATGACTCCTCCTCCATCCTGCTCTGTTGGTGGGAGATGAGGGTGGGGGCAGGGGCATGGCAGAGACCCAAGGGAAGGGAAGATGGAGGCAGGCTGGAGAGGCCCAGCCTGAGGAGGGGCTCAGGCAACAATTTTCCGTGTTTCCTGTGAGTCTGACTCAGGGACTGGACCATCCATTTGTTCATCTAGTGTTTACTAAACACATACTATGTGCAGGTCACGGTGTGACGCCCTGGGAATACCATGCACCATAGGCTCTCACTGCACAGTGGGGGACCGCAGGGGAGCAGGAGGCAGTGGTGACTCAGGTGGGCCATGTGATGGGAGAAATGCAGGATGCTGTGGGGGCACCGGCAAGGCCCCTAAAGAGACAGAGGGGTCAGGCAAGGTTCCCAGGAAGGAATCTCTAATGAGACATGAAGGAGGAGTGGGGTGAGCAGCTGTGGAATGAGAGAGAGGAGCAGGTGGGAGTTCCAGGCAGAAGGAGGGCCCGGGAAGTGGCCTGGAGGTGAGAGAAAGCAGGGCACATCCAAGGAAGGGAAGGAAATTCCAGCTGACGAAGGGCGTGTGCGCAGGGAGTGTGGACGGGGAAATGGAACAAGAGGCACATTTGTGAGTTCTTCCTTCTTGTTCTCCTCCTCTCCTTCTTTCGGAGCGGTAAGGCAGACCTGAATCCTCACAGCCCTGGGAGCAACACACCACCATTACCTGTATCTTCTAGAGGAGACAATGGAGACTCAGAGAAGTGAAGTGACCCGCCCCAGGCCACGCAGCTAGGAATGGCAGATCTGCCCCTCAGTGCCCATATTCCTAAGCTCTCTGCTCTTCTGGCCTTCAGGCTTTGGTGAAAACAGTGCTCTGAAAACAGGAAGAGAGCGGACATTAACAAAACAGCAGACCACAGCAGCTGCACTGTTTACGTTCTTCTAAAAAAATCCTCATCATTGTTCTATGGGGCAGCATCCCCATTCTACAGATGAAGAAACTAGAGCTCAGTGGGTGAAGTGACTGTGCCAGGTTCACACGGGGGCGAGTTGGCGAAGGAGCCAGAAGGAGATGCCAGTGAGTCTGTCCTTGGCCCAGGGACCTGAAGGAGCTCATGGCTGCAGGCCCATTAGCTTTGTGTGTCCTGCTCAAGAACAGAGCAACCAGACGTCCTGCTCCCGACCATGACCCCATATCTCTCCGCCTGAACAAGCAGCCCAGGGAGCTCTCCTTGGGAGACTGGCTCGTGTGGGGAGTGTGTGTAATGGTGGCAGCTGTTTTCCATTACTGGAGTGACAAATGCACTCACTGGCCAAGGACCCAGCACCCCGGGCTCTACTCCCAGGCCTCCAGGTGACCTTGGGCCAGTCATTTCCTCTAATCTGAATCTCACTAGCACCAAGTGGAAATCAAAGAAATGGAATTTAGTAACTTTGAAGGGCCTTTCCTTCAGGTCAAGCTTCAGTTCTGGGGCTGTCAAGGTTTAATGACGTGGATGGTGGTGGAACCAGCAGAGGGTGCTCCCAGCACCAGGGAAACAAGACCTTGGTCCACAGAGCCTGGGCGAAGGCTGCCAGACCTTCAAGCGTGGAGGGCGGATCCCACCCCAGCCAGTTGCTGGGATGACGAGGCTCTGCTGCGGACAGTGCTATCTGTGTTTCGGACAGGAGCCCAAAAGAAGAGAAATCGAAGAGCAGGATTTCAGAGTTCAAAGCTCATCTGGTCTAACTCTCTGTTCTCCAAGACTCTGAAAACACTCCATTCTGTTCCCTCTCTCTACACCCCGCTCCCCCAGGTCCACAGTTTAATTTACCGGGAGAAAACAGGCGATCACAAACGTGAAGGGCAGCCACACCTCTTGTGGGGTGCTCGCTCCTACCTATAACGTCTTGGGATGCACTTTCCCTTCACTGGGAAAGCTCCCTTTTCCCTTCTCTGCTTGGCAAACTATTTAAGACCCTTTCAAGACCCTGTTCCAATGTCACCTCCTCAGCAGAATCCTCCCTGACGCCCTTAGGAAGACCTGGTACTCCCTCTCTGTCCGGAGCCCTCCGATCAGTAATTCTATTGGTGCGTGGATCCCGCCTCACACTGGGCTACGGGTACACAAGCCTGTGGTTCCTAATCACTGCAGCCTCCTTTTGTTGAGTGCTGACTGGCTGCTGGATACTGCGCCAGGTGCCGTACATGGATTACATCATCCCTTTCTCACCGTAACCCCATGAGCTAAACACAGCTATCATCTGCCTCCTACACACGTGGAGACCGGGACTGGGAGAGACTGAGTCACTTGCTCAAGGTCACACAGTTGGAAAGTGGCAGAACCAGGCTTCACACTCCGTTTGTCTCAACCACAGGCCCAGCCTCTATATAAACCCTGGGTGTGCAGCCTCTGATATGCACTTTTCTGTCTCCCATGCGTAACATTCTCTCTGGCACCAGGCAGATATTCAAGCCACATTTCTCAAAAAAATAAGTGAAAAGTGGGCTAGAGTTTGAGCACGTATAAGGAAGGCTCAGTGAAAACATTGCAAGCACAGGCTTTGGGACTGGGCTGCCCGAGCATGAAGCAAGGCTCCCCCACTGGCTGTCTGATCATGCGAAGATGCTTGACTTCTCTGTGCCTCCGTTTCCTCATCTGTGAAGGGGGATAGCAGTGCCTGCACTTCAGAGGGTTCTCAAGGAAATTAAATGAATTTTGATCCTCACATGAAGTTTTTACATGAGATGCACATAAAATGCTTAGGAGAGGGCCCAGTAAGCTCCTAAAAATGTCAGTTGTCAGCATCTTGTGTGGCGGGCGTTGCCTGCTTCTCAGTTCACACAGCCCTTCTTTCCCCCATACAGGTGAGGTCCACGGAGACTCCACGATGAGTCTTGTGCTGTGCTAGTAAATTGGGTCTCAAAAAAAAAATTAAAAATAAATAAAAATGAGAGCCGGCCCCATAGCCAAGTGGTTAAGTTTGCACACCTGCTTCCATGGCCCAGGGTTTTGCCAGTTCCCTTCCTGGGCGGGGAAATGGCACCGCTCATCAGGCCATGCTGAGGCGGCACCCTACATGCCACAACCAGAAGGACCTACAACTGGAACATACAACTATATACGAGGGGAGGAAGGAGGAGGGGGAGGGGGATGGGGAGGAAGAGAAGGAGAAGAAAAAGAAGATTGGCAACAGATGTTAGCTGAGGGCCAATCTTTAAAAAAAAAATGCCATAATAAGTAAATAAATAAAAATGCAAAAAGCCCTGATCTGTGGCACTTACCAATTCCCATGGCGTAAATGTCCCCACCATGGCTGATGTCCAGCTATGAATGTGAGGGCTCATACTGCCATGCCAGTCTCAGAGAAGGTCAGAGCTTTACCTCAAAGCTCTGTGCCTCAGTTTTCTCCCGTGTGAAACGCACCAGGAGTAGTCCCTAACTCCTCATATTGCTGTGATAAGTAAAGACAAAGCTCTCAGAGGAGCAGAGCGCCCAGCACCTAGCACTCTACGTTAGTGGAGCTACTAATACTGTTGTTAAGAGTTTTAACCACACTCAGTCTTGCTGTGGCTCGCTGGCTCTGACACTGGCCTGACCCCAGCGCCTGGCCTTCAGCCTGACGTCCTGGCAGGCACAGTCTCCATCCTGGCCATCTGCCTTCTAGGATTGAGGCCTTGTCCACTCTTGCAGCTCTCCCTTCTCCACCTGGAACTAGAATTCTGACCCAGCCTGTGCTGGTTACACGCCCACCCTGATCACAAACGATTTTGTGCCTCTGGTCTCTACCTGCCTCTGGTTTCAGCCCTAGACGTCCCTGATGGTAGCTCTGGGCCTGGACCGCCAGGGCCGCCCGTGCCGTGCTCCAGATCATCCAGGATGCTCTCGTTTGGCATCTGCTCTACTCTTCATTGCTTACAACACCACTTCCCATGGGGCATGCAGCACTCACAGAGGGGAAAGCGAGGGTCAGAGCTGCGTTTGCTCCCACCTGCAGCTGAGGAGGCCCAACACCTGCCCTACCCCAAGGTGGGGTCTAGTGCTCCATCGGGGCCCCAACCCGCAGCCTCTGATTTAACCCTTTTGTGCTCAGGCCCAGCTCAAGCTGTGGCAGCACAGGCCGGGAAGATCCGGGCACTTTAGCGTTGGGTGGAAGAGTCAGGCGAACTGAGTCAGAAACAGGGACTGGAAGAGGCAAGGCCAAGGCTGCATTTGGAAACATAAGCTGGGTCTGAGGCTCCTTTGCCAGGAGAGAGAACAGAGTGCGAGCAGGATGTCAAATGGAATGGGAAAGAAAAAAAAAGCCAGATGGGACCAGGAGTCAAGGTTGACAAGGGTCTGACCTCCTGAATTCAGATTTAATAAACATCAGCTGCAGACCCACTACATGCCACGTGCTTTCCGATACCTTATCTCATCAGATCCTTGTGAAGAGGACACCCCTGCCGCACTCTATATAGGAGCTAACAGCATGCAGAGGGGTTAGGGACTGGCACGGGAGCAGGTGAGTGGTCACTCTGGTCCTGCTCAGGTGGCCAATGGAGAAGACAGGATGGAGCTTGGTCCTGGGCCAAGGATGGTTGATCCCCTCACTGCCTCGTGCCAGCGGACAGCTGGAAACCATAGGGCCAGGGCAGGCTGTCAATAGAGGTCTCCAGTCTTGAGAAGACTCTCTGAAAACATGACAGGTTGACATCCTGAGGTCTCACACCTTAAGGCAACCGTAGTCCTCTGGAAAAAGGATGGATTCGGAGGCAGCGAGACCTGGCTGAAGCACTGCACTCTGCCACCTTCTCCCTACGGGGCCCCCAGCCGCTGTCTGAAACTCTCTGAGCCTCAGTTTCCTCCTCTGGGACATGGGAGCAATAAGAGCTGCCTGCCCAGGGTTTGGTAGACGGCGGAAGTGACTGAGGTACAGAAAGTACTAGGCAACCCGAGGCAGACATCCTCCTCGTCATCACTGCTGACCTGGCTCCAAGCTTCATTTCCTGGCTCCCTCTAAGCCAATCCAGACGGGAGACGCTCCCACTTTTTGCACCAGGTAGCGCCATCAGCTACAAAGATCTGTTTCCTATTTCCTCGGGCTGTCAGGTGTTCCCGGAGCTAACGAGAGCAGTGCAGGAAAGAGGAGCCTGAGGAGGAGCGGGGCCTCCCCAGCAGAGCTGACTCCTCTCCCCTCTGGAGAGCCCCGGGCTATTTCCAGGTCCCCCAGTCAGACCCAGAGCCGTTGGGAAGGGTGGATCAAAGAACTGGAAACCCGACTTCCTAGGGTCCTCCCCTGTCATGCAAACTGCCCCACCTCCCAGCCATGCTCACCCTTGACCCTCAGCCTTCATCCAGTTCCTCCTTCTTGGACAATGCTCCCTGCTCCTCCTCTCCGAGCTGTGGCCTCCTGCCCTTCCAAGGCCTGCCTAGGCTCATGCCTCCTCCAGGAAGCCTCCCCAGTGAGTCGACTGTACGCTGACCTCTCTTCTGGCTGAATTCTCCCCTCAGTGTTTGATATGTGACTTAGAAGCTGGCAACAGATTGCATGCCATCAGGGCTACTCCCTGGCTCTCCTGTCCATAACTGTGGCTGTTGGGAGCTGCCAGGCTGAGAAGGGGCACAGGATGGGCCTCCTTCTCTGTTCCCCACGACAGGGAGCCCGGTGTAGAAGTGGAGGGCTGGCAGGCAGGGTGCTGCGCACCCAGCTCTTTCCTACACACTCGGAGTTGGAAGGAAGATGGGGAGTGACTAAGTGGGAGAAAAAGAAAGAAGTGAGTGAAAAGGAGTGAAAGAGGAGGGAAGGGCAGCTGCATGTGGCAGAGGACCAGCATCAAAAGAGGACAGATGAGGCCCATGATCCAGGCTGCCACGGATCATGCTCTAAGTCTTCTTGTGAATTACCCTCTGA